CGGATTGCATGTTAGATATACGTTTTCGCTTGAACATCACAAGGAAAATATGCATTAGGAAAACCTAACCTTCAAAGCATATATGTGGAAATTCATAAGTAATTGATAGAGTTGCATAGGATTGTGACGGCGACGGCTAAACCCTAGTTTCTCTCTCTATTGTTAATTTTAAAAACGTTTTTATTCTTTGCTATTATTACCTCCCAACTCTCAGATTTCTTTTATTGTCAAGTTAATCTTTTCAAATTCATAAATTTCACATCTTTGATAAAATCTATTTTGGTTATTAATTAAGACTTAGTTTAATTACAAATCAATCAAACAATCTTTGGGGACAACGACCTTGCATGAGCATCTATACTACAATAACCTTGTATTCTTGCAAGTATTTTAAGTGATTTTAACCCTGTTTGCGCAGGTACTAAAAATCCTATCAACCATTTTGCTAAACGCCCAGAAGGCACTGGCTTTGCCATGAGATATATGAGAGTTTCTACTTTGGAGATTGACGTAATTCCATGGGATAATATATAATGTCGTAATTTTTGCACAGCAAAAATCAAAGCCAAACAAACCTTTTCAATGGGGGTGTAGTTCTGTTCTGCCCCCACTAATGTTCAGCTTAAATAGTAAAGTGCATTCTCCTTCCCATCTTCATTCTCTTGAGCGTGCATTGCCCCCAGTGAGCGTTCAAGTGCAGCGATGTATAATATTAAGGGTTTTCCCTTAATTGGTGCCATTAATATTGGGGGTTTTAGAAGATATGCTTTGATGCTATCAAAAGCATTTTGGCATGCTTGATCCCATATGAATGGTGTGTCTTTTTTCATCAGCCTTGTGAATGGCTGGCACCTCCCAGACAAATTTGAAATGAACCTTCGTATGTAAGCTAGTCTTCCTTGTAAACCTCTTAACTATTTCAAAGTTCGAGGAGGAGGCATTTCTAGGATTGCCTTGATTTTGGAAGGGTCAATTTCGATTCCACGATGTCTCACTACAAAACCCAGGAATTTCCCTTACGTCACTCCAAATGCGCATTTCAAAGGGTTCATTTTTAACTCATGTTTTCGGAGCCTATCAAAAACCCGTTTCAGGTCATTTAAATGATGCTCTCTCTTTCTGGTTTTTACAACCAAATCATCCACATAACATTCGATTTTATTATGTAGCATGTCGCTAAAGATGACTGTCATGGCTCTTTGGTATGTTGCACCAGCATTTTTCAGACTGAACGACATCACAGTATAACAGTAAACCCCCTTTGGGATTCGAAACGCAGTAAGCTCTTCATCTTCAGGTGCCATTTTGATTTGGTTATATCCTGAAAATCCATCAATGAAGGATAAAGCCTCAAATCAAGTCGTTGCATCTACCAATAATTCGGTGATCGGGAGAGGGAATTCATCTTTGGGACATGCATTGTTAAGATCTCTAAAATCTATGCAGATACGTATTTGACCATTCTTCTTTTTTACAGGAACAATGCTTGTGAGCCAAGTAGGATACTGGACTTCTCGAATAAACCCAGCATTTATTAACTTGTCAATTTCAGCATTTATTTGTACCTGCAGCTCTGGTCGAAACCGTCTTGGAGCCTGCTTCACATAGCGACATTGACTTGATACTGCCAATCTGTGTACTGCTACATTAGGATCTAGGCCAGGCATGTCTTGATAGCCCCATGCAAATACATCTCAGTATTCTTGAAGAAGGCACCTATAATTTTCCAATTCATTTGGAGTTAGTAAGGCACTTACAAAAATGGGTTTGGGCTCATCATTTGTACCAAGATTAACTTCTTGTAGTTCATCCACAGTAGCTTGACCTCCATCTTCAATTTGGGATGGTGCTTGCTGAATATTATCAATAAACTCTAATGGCTCATTATCAGGAATTCGGATTTCATGCTCTTCATTTTCTGTTGGGTTAACATCTGTGATGGAGACAGTTAACTTGAACGGCCTCAATATTTCTAGATTGCTCTGAACTTGTCATCACACTTTTCTTGACTCTCCATTTCTTACTCTTTTGAAGTTTTTGTGAGGTAGCAACACCTCCAAGTCTTTGGAAAACTGAGATGCGAGTTGGAAAATTATTTGCTTTGTTCCCAAGCCGCTCAAAAACTGAGATCCGGGGTGATTTATTGCTTGACTCAGTTTCAGCAAAGAAAGATTTTTCGAGGTCAGTGAAAACTACTGATTCGTCTATTTATGTCTTTGGACCTTTTACCCTGAGCATGCCATTTTCTTGTCTTACTGAGACATAAATGCAATTCTTTCTGACTTTGCCTTTTTTGGATTTTATCTTCAATGAAGTTGAAGATCATGTCTTCATGGACCTATTTCCTTCAAAGAATCCAACACGGTTACGTCGAGTATTGTTCTTTGAAATAGTTGGATTTCCATTAAAGACAACGTGGTTATGCCGACTGTTGTTCTTCTTTAACACAGTTGAGACTATCAAACTGCCCCTTGGGATTGAATGGTTAATCTTGCGTAGTGGCTGTGTGTATGTTGTCATGAGCGTCTCAATTGTATTTTGAACTGACACCAATGCTTTTTGACCTAGCTTTTTTTGGTCATCTGGTGAGTATTTAAAGGCTGTCTTTGAACTTGAAGTCTTTTCTTTATTTGGGAAAATAGAAGGCGATGTGATCTTTATTTTGATTGGCTTTGTTGACCCTGATGGTCCTCCTGTTTTTATGCTCAGCCCTCGCTTTGCCTTTTCTGTATTTTTCGGCTGTACAAAGGTAAGGCTTGGTGATTTATAAAACTTTGCATATGAATAATTAACTTCTTCACCTCTAAATGGATCAGCATCTGCAGAGACCTTTTTGACTTCACCATTTGATAAGAACTTAAAACACTGATGTAGTGTAGAAGGAACAATGCCATATGTGTGGAGCCATGGGCGCCCCAAAAGCACGTTGTAAGATGTATTAGCATCAATGACATGAAAAAGGGCATCAGAATAAAGTTCCCCTATTTCCATTTGCAATGCTATGGTGCCCATAGCTCTTTGTCCGACTTGATTGAAACCCTGAATTGTCAACATAGATGGTGACAACTGTCGAGCACTCATTCCAATCATATGAAGTGTCTTTAAAGGAAGAAGATTTACCGCTGAGCCACAATCAAGCAAAATTCGATTGATCAATGTATTTCCAACTTCTCCACTAACATAAAGTGGTCGGTTGTGGAACTCAGATCCAAGCATCATATCATTTTCATCAAATGTGATGCTTGCTAAATAGCAAGCACAATATTTTGGTGATGCAGTAACCGCGTTTGCTGGCTCGAAACTCGTTCTAAACATCTCGGGGCTCATTAAAGCCATAGTGAGTGCTTCTCTAAGTTCCTTTGACATTTGCATGGCGTCATAGATATTAAGAAATGATGGGATACGTTTCAACTGAGCCACTACATTGAGCTGTGATTGGTCCCTGACACAAGTTTGTCCTTGCTGAGATCTGGAACTACTTGCTTTGATTGGTATTTCCACTGCAAAACTTTGTGAAGAAATTGGAATTTCTGTCATTTTTGATTTATCAGGAAAGACTGGTGCAATTTGCAGCGTGGTTTGATCTGCTGCTTCAGAGGTTTCATACGAAGTCATTAAACAATTAAAGCATTCTTCCTCTCCTTCGTAGCTTTTCTTAAAGGAATTAGCAGGGAAAAATTCAGCGAGGGTAACTGATGCCCTTGGTTGTTGTTCATATGCTTTTCTTTGTATGATCTTCGGTTTCTCTGAAGTCTTCTTTTTCAATTTCTTATTTTTCAGAGATGGCTTGCTCGCAATTTTGACACCACGGTGAGTAGATGACTTTAGCACCGAGGAATTTTTGACAATATTTTTAGCCTTTCTTTTGACAACTGTCCGCCATTCACTTTGGGACTCATCGGAAAAATCTGACGAATCTTCCCAAATATCCAGGCTAGGTGCGGTCATAAGGTCATACAAGGTAGGAATATTAGGATTTCCAGGACGAGGCATATCGGGGTATGCATGAACAACTGTAATCTCATTGTCAACATGGAATCCTATAGGTATAGCTCCTTCTGGCAAGGAAACATGAGGAATAAGTTCACCCTCAATCATGTTAGATGTTGCAATTTGCTGCTTTGAAGATGAATCCACCTCTATCTCATGATTGTTGATTTTTTCTAGAATTATGTTTTTAAGAACATAGCAATCTCTTAATGGATGACTCACAATCCGAGGGTACCTGCAATATTTAGAATCATTAGTTTTATCAACTTCTGCAGGGCGCTTTGGTTCTGGAAGTTTGATTGCTTTTGCTGCGAGGAGCTCATCTAAAATAGTTTCAACATCCTCATCATCAAATGTATATTTGACTTCCTTCCTTTCTTTAAGAGTGATTCTCCTTGTTTCTTATTTCCCTTTTCCTCAGTCATTTTTCTTGTCAGTTTTGACAAAAGTAGCCATTGACTCCCCTTTCTTGAATGCTTTCTTGCCATCATTTTTCTTTTCCCCAATCTGGATTTGTTTCCCTCTTTTCGCCCGGGTAGGCCGATGGAAGGAGTTTTTTGGTCCTTCTTCTCTTGAGATGCATAGTCGTGCCACCACCAAGCCACTTGATGGCTTGGATGGAAAGATCGTGTGAGTGTCACTACAAGAAAAAAGTCCTTTCACAACGCGCAATGTGCGTTGTGAAAACATATTGACAACATGCGGCGCACATTGTTGAAGCCGATGTCGTTAAAAGGTGTAGGGCTTTCGACAACACGCGTTGAACGTCGTCATTTATTTTGGCGCTCGTTGTGAACAACATTAACCACAACACGCGCACGTTGTAGGAGCGATTGACAACAACGTGCCGAGCGTGTTGTCTTATAATATTATGACAACATGTCTGTGCTCGTTGTTGTTTATGTTTTGACAACAAGCAATGCGCGTTGTTATATCAAATATATATGTTTTTTTTAAATAATTATCAAAATTACCTGATAAAAGTATAATTTATCTATAAATAGAAGCTCTATGATAAACATAAATATTTCCTTACTTCACATTCATAAGGCATCCCAGAATACAAAGCTTTCATTCAAAAGATAAATAAGGAGTTCCATATACATATTACAAAGTTATATTCATCCCAATATACTCATCGATGGTGAATGTAGCTGGAAACCACTGATTGAAGCTCATCAGCATCCTGAAAACCCCATTGCCTGTTGTATTCATCCCATTGCCTGATTGAATTTTCATAACCCCCATTAACAGAGTTATTTGAATTCATAATTTCATTCTCATAGTATGATGTGGGTTGAATTGAATTGTGGCATGTATTCATCCCATTGCCTGATGTAGTTCCAGGATTATTGATGTGGGTTGAATTGAATTGTGGCATGTAGTTGGATGAATTTTCTAACTCATGAAACCAACTTTGAGCTGCTTGATTAGGGTTTGCTACAGCAGAGCCATTGACAAAGCTTTGAGCTGCTTGATCCTTGAGGAAAGCTAACTGTGCTTGTAAGTTGACCACCTGAAAAGTTCAAACCAAAAGCATATACTCATCAGTTACTTCAACATACAATCTGAACAGAAACCCAATCTGAACATACAAAGGGTACTAAATGATTAACCTGCTGTTGGAGAGCAAAAATATGTGAAACACATCCATATATGGGATCTTGAATCCTGGCTTGAGCTTCATATGATATCGACATTGCGGCCTTGCATCGATCGCTCAACGGAAGGTGAACTAAAAGCCTCGACACATTGCTTGCGCCAAAAACCTTGTGGATGGCAGAAAAATCAACATCTCCCTCTTCATAGCAGAAATGAGGCGCAAAAATACACCCCGTCACACATTTTCTTCTCAAGAACTTGCAGGCTCCACAGGGAGAACCACAACCAGCCATGGTTTTGATGATCTTTTTTAATTGGGAGGGTTTTATATACGTTTTATGTTGGTGATTTTTGCCCCGCATTATCCGCATTATGGTTTAGGGTTTTTGTAATATAATATTGCCCCGCATTATCCGCATTATTGGTGATTTTTGTTTTTGTTTTTACCGCATTAATGGTGATTTTTGTTTTTGTTTTTACCGAACCTTGGATCCTACCTAACAAATAATAATAAACCATGGCAATCAGAACCATCAAACGCATGTAAAGAATCATGCCATCCCTCTTAACATAAAGCAATACAAGGCATCAGTGCATTGCAACAAAGTCTGGAAAACCAAGTAACTAAACCAATCAGCAAATTTAGCATTCATAAGCAAAGCTAAACTAAATAGTAATCCCAGTTTGCAGCAATAAATTCATGTTAAGGACAGGGAAAATAAAAGTAACATCGTCTACAAAGACAGGGAAAATAAAAGTAACATAGATGGGTACCAAGAATAGGCATGTGGATCTGGCCAAAACCTTGCAGGCACTAAATTGCTTGCCTGAGTACATGTATAAAGACATATATGGCTGATTCCTTAAAAACCAAAATTAGATGCAAATTTTAAACCTTTCTACATTGTAAGTCCAAATTTCCTAAAGCAAAGACCTAAAATTGCTTACCTGGCCTTTGCTCCTTCAACTTTGTGAAGGTTTGGGAGAGACTGACGGTTTGGAATCTGATTCCAAATATACAAGAATTGAACCCAGATGTACAAGATCTACAAGATAAATTCATATGGAAGAAGAAAGAAGAAAAAGGGATTTGAAAAAAAAAATAGAACCAGAAATAACGTAGGGAGAAGAAGAGAGGGATAGGGAAAAAAAAAAAAAGAGGTAGAAGAAAAGAGAGAGAGAGAGAAGAAGAACAAGAAAAAAGAGAAAGAGAAAGAAAAGAAAGAAAAAGAGAAAGAAAGAAAAAGAGAAAGAAAGAGAGAGACTGTCGGCGGTACAGGGAGAAGAGAAAAGAAGAAGAAAAAAGAGAGAAGAAAAAGAGAGAGAGAAATAGAAAGAGAAAGAAAGAGAGAAAGGA